ACCTGTTGCTCTCCTCACTTGAGGAAATATTCTTCACGCATTTTAATGGCGAAATATTATCTTTAATTTCTCAAGGTTGCCGATTCTTACATTTCCGGTTTTCAGTTATGTAACGTTCCGGTGCAACATATTTAGACGCTAAAAACGCCTTTCGTAAAATACAGTGTGCTGATATACCTGTAAATTATAATGTCCTCCATCTTGATGTGAAGCAGAGGAAGAATATAAAAATTTAGAGACATTCAGATATAGAAAGTAAGAAACTGGAAATACTAACTGGACCATATAGATTACAAATAGGTCGAGAATTTAAGTTTGAATATCTTCAAAGAAATATTTTATTAACATAATTAAACTCAATAGTTGACACTCTACGCGTTCATTTACATCACATTTGCTGAACTCTTAAACAACATACCACAAAACTGAATTTTAGTTCTAAAGATACTGTGAAAATTTACTTCTGAATTCGGAGCGTGTGCGGCCATGTACAGGTTTCTGTGAAGCTCTTTAAGCAATTAATGTATTGCTAATTGTGGGACACCAGAATACCAAATATTCATGGTCATCCAAATAATAACAATAATAATGTTAATAGTAACAGTAATAAAAAGCAAATGCAACAAGAGTTAATAAAATATTGATCTCAAATTGGATTCAGATTAGTTTAAAGAAATTTACTGTAAATTCACATTTTTCACTAATCGAATATTAATATTAATGTGGATTTCGTCTTCACTGAAATTTAGCAGCATACTACAGCTTTAAAATCAGTATGAAAATATTGAATTAAGAAGTAGATGGAGGTGATCTCTGGTCCCCAATCTGAGGCCACAGACGGATTAATTTTCACCTCGCAGTCCCCTTCTTTTATCGGTCCATGTCCGCTTCTTTGCTACATTGGGATGCTTTGGGCGTCGCTGATATTCTCGAGAATAATTTTGGTGTTTTTAAAATTAAAAGGATACGATGTTTTATTGTTTTTCTGTGATGTTATTGTTCTAAAAGAGTAATAAAATATTGTTCAGAAAGAGCATCATGAAACAAGTGTTTAAGCATACGTCGTTTTTAGGCGTCCGCCGAAAACATGGCGAGCGAAAACGTCGCGGAGAAAACAACGAAAAGCGAAAATGTCATTGTAAAAGGAATCGTGGGAGAAAAGAAAGAAGGAGAAAATATGGCAGTTCTTTGAATTATCATAGTAATAAAACATCGTCGTCGAAAAAAAAAAAAAAAAAAAAAAAAAAAAAAAAGGTTTAAAAAAATTACAGTTTTAGAACATCGTAGTGGGAAATCGCTACATATAGCGTATAATAAAAGAAAGAGTCTGTGTCTTTCGTTCGTGCTTGCGCGTAAGCTAATAGACACAGGGCTACGAAATTTAGTATATAGGTGCATGTAGACAATAGCCAGTGCACCTGGAAGCGATTTTTTGAAAATTCGAATCAGATTTTTTAAAATTTTATCTTTTCGTTTTTATAGCATCATTTTGAATAGTTTCATTTTTCTAGAAATGTGGTTTTGGCAACAGTTTTTCATTCAGTTGTGTACTGGACTGCTTACTGTTGAAAATCAGCACTGTTGCCACTTGAAAAATGAGGGCGATAATTCTGTGCTGTTTTTAAATTTAATGTTTCTTTTGGATACTGGACTTTTGTTGAGAGAAGGCAACGGAAAGTTTTTTAATTTATTTATTAGGATAATTAATATTTATATTAAGGAATATTGCTTATTTCATTGTAATTTTGTTATATGTAATACATTATTTATTTATTTATTTGATGAAGTTGTTCTGCAGAGTAAAATTCTGCGCATTTTTTAAATTTAACGTTTGGAATTTTCCGGTACATTTAAAAGCCAGACGAAGGCTGGCTGCGTAGCTGCTAGTATCTTAATAAAAAAAAAAGCATCTACAGATCATCGCATTACGATAACATCGAGGACATGTGCTTTTCAAGCTTTAAAAGCTATAAATGTATAGTCGCATGTGAGCGCAAGAAGGAATAAGGAAAACAACAAAAAACTCATGCAATCATATTATTCACAGATCTAATTACTAGAATTCAGCGATTTTACCGCTCGGAAGATAGTATTAACGGAAACTGGTTTGTTTTTACATCAGTCAATGAGAAGACTGAAATTTAAAATTACACGCAGAAAATTTAAGTGAAGATTTTTTTTTTTTTTTTTTTTTCAGAAACAATACATAATTTCAGTGAACTGTCGACGACGATGTCCTTCTGACGACCACCAGAGTTTCTGAGAACATCGTGTTCTGCCTGCTTGAAGGCCGCATTGCTAACTTTAATTCTTTCGATTGGAATTCTACGGCGCTGAGTTATTATTGTCATTAGGCTTGTTTACGGCAACTGCGGTCAGAGCCAACTTGCGCGCTAGTTATACTATGAAGCCGTTAGGCTGTATTTAAACTTCATTAAATTTAGTTTATTTTAGTTTCCTTCAATAATTCTGTTGATTTTGAGAACGATCAGATACAATTCTCTATTCTTTAGGCATAAAAAAAATTCTGCTGAAGTTTGTTTTCCCCTTGAAAACAAAATTCTTTTGAAAACATCTGAGCGAAATCATGGTCACTTTTTCATCTAATTTTAAATTTTACATTGGCAAGTTCTCTTCCAATGACGGCTATCCTTCGAATATTAAGGATAAGGGCACAATATCGTTCAAATAGTTTCCAGACACATCATGAACAGCTCATAAATTAAATTTTGTATTTAAGATACCGTGAACAATTCATAAACAAACTTTCTCTTTTTCCTAATTAAAATTTTGTGGAAGTACCTATACACGTGTTTCCAGTTATATTTATATTAAATTAGTTAAATTCCATTTCTATTTTTCTCATCCTTTTATGTTATCATTCGGTTAATATTTCCATGGACAAACGTAATCACATTAAGCGTCGCCTATTGTAGCTGTAGAGATGCAACGAGATAGATGCACGGATAAAAAAAACCACTGGAATCATAGAATGGAATCGTCTCCAATTTTATCGGAAGAAGCGAATAATTTTATATCAATTAAACTTTCAAAGAAACAAACAAATAAAAATCAAAGGGTTGTCGAGAGCTGGAACTTTCCAAAGTAATTATTAAGCTGTGTATTTCTGGACTGCTCTTGTGTACAATGACAATTTAATGGACAACGTGGATCAAGGAAAGGGATTTTGACGAAGGGCACTCGGTATTTAGGCAAATGTAATTAGAACGTAACCTTATGCAGTTTCAAAGAACGTTGGAACAAAGTAACACTGGAACAAAACATCTGAATATACATAAAATTTAGATAATACAATATCAAGCCATTTGCTCTAACTTTTCGTTCAATCCATTCCTCTTCTTCTAAAGAATGCTTGTAAAGATATTTAACGAAATCGATGCTCCCACTAAATTTACGATTAGGTCTGTTTTACAGGCCTTAATTTCTAACAGTAGAAGTGCAGCAGCCTTATTGGAAGGCGATCAAGAAAGAGGTATAAATATAAATAAATAACATAGCTAATAAAATAATTTAAAATTAAAATAGCTAAATAATTAAAGTTAATGTCCAATAAAATGTAAGCAGATAAATAAAATTTAATAAATTATAAAATTAATGATGAATAGTTAAGGAATAAAATAAAATATTGTACCTTGTCTTGTCTTATTTGAGTTTCCTGAATATACAATATAATATACTATTTGAAGGCATTATGGAGACTAAAAACGTTCTTTCTTGCAGTATACCAATGAAAAAAGGTAAACTGTTTAAAGCTTCACTGATGAGAATAAAGAGAATGTTAGAAACAGTACGAGGAAACAGAAGCGAGTTTTAACGGAGATGTGTAGGCATAAAAATTAAGAAAGAAGAATCCGACACCTTCTGACTGCTATCTCCTTCTGACATAATTCTAGCCGTCAACTAGAGCATGACAAGGGGTAAAAATTTGTCTTTAATCAGAGGCTTGATCTGTAAAATGAGATCAAACACAAGATTGTAACAAGAGCGCAAGAACAAGTAACAATTATGTGAGAGCAAACGCAAGTAACAATTTTAACTCCCCCTCCCCGAATTTGGTTAAAATCGTTTCCAAAAGTCTGCATGTGCTCTTTCCCTGTGGGAATTCAATAACGTTGGATGGGCATGACCAGGATGACCGTACTTTCAGGAACGAACAATTTATTTTCTGTCATAAATTCATTGCACTTCTCAAAGAATAAACCTTCCACATGTGGGTGGAGATTTTTCTTTCTTTAAAAGTTTGAACCTCCATATAAGAGTTTGCTTCATAGAAAAAGACAGGGATGCATTCAGAAGTTAGAATCAATATCTAAGCCTTATTTATTATTAAAATCAAATTTTTAAGCTCAAAAGAATTTTCTGCTGAAATTGTGGTTCAGTTACCTAAGAGAAATGCCCGAGCCTTTTAATTAGGGCTAAGGTATCCTCTGGCTACATTTACGATTTATCACAAAAACTGAGGAGTATTTCTCGGGCTATGGTACAATTTAAGCTCGGTTATATTTCTTCAAGCTGAAGCAAAACTTTGCTGTGGATTCATTAAATTGCATAACTATGTATAAATGATGCCTGGAATTTCAAGAAAAATGTGCATGATGATATAGAATGGAGAAGAATCTGGAGGTTTCTCTCAAGTTGCTCAAGTTAACAAGGCGACAATAAGTCAAGGTCATGCAGAAACTGGTAACGCGTTATGACAAAAAATTTAAAGCATGAAAGCAAGTGCGTCGAAAAATAAAATTAGTAATCATCTAACTTCTGCATAAATTGCAACATTTTTCTTTATTTCCATTAAAAAAGTTATTTACTTATTTATTTTCTAGGTATATGCAACTTGAATCTTACACGAAATTTTACCTGAAGTAAACTACAGTTACGAATCAGAGGTTTCCTATCATTTTTTAATATCTTAATACTGTGCACAAAACATTGCATTTGAATTATTCGCTGTTTGTAGTTTAAATGAAATTTGTTCTTACTTGAACTGTATCCACAAAGCATTTTATTTTAGGTATAGTAATCTGAAAAAAATGGGACCAAGAAAATCCTTTCATATCTGCCAGAGTTATCAGTCCACATACTTGAGTTATGGGATTTCTCATTTCCTTTTCTGCACAAAGCAAACCAAATTTTGTAACTTCTTCAGGGGAGAAAATATCAGTATCCCAAATCCCTGCAAAGATTAAACAACGCCATTAGAACGGTTACGTATCTACAAATGCATTGGTTATTTTCAGTCATTTCGTTATTATACACTGCAGAGACATTAGGTATTTTTTTGGAAGCAGGAAAGATGAAAAAATTAGCAAACGCCTCCCCGGGAATCGAACCACGGACCTCTCAAACGTACTGAGCGTGCAGACCACCCCACCACGAAGGCATGCCAAGAAGGCCGGAGAAATACCTTATAGAGTTCCACTTTTAAAGGCCGATTGGGGTTTTAGGAGATCCAATCGCCAAATCCTGGTTGAGGAAAATCATCATCCAACACCCTTTTAGTTCGGGCGCCACTGTAGAGACATTAATTTTTTTGAAGCAGGAGAAGTGAAAAATGAGCAACACGCCTTCGCCGGGAATCGAACCACGGACCTCTCAATTACACCAAGAAGGCGGGAGAAATACCTTATAACACAATAAAATATCTGTTATACACAAATTTAAATAATTTACTTAGTCCCTTTCATTGTTATGCACAAAAAATTTCTATGCTTTAATAAAATGATTTCGTGCGATAATTATTTTATCAGCAAACTTACTTATAACAAAATCTGATGTGTACACCACACGACTTCCTTGTACAGAACATTAAATTATACGCATTTTTTCATGCACTTAATTTAAACTTATTTCCTCGAAATTCATTAGAGATGTAATTCTTATTCAATTAATTTTGTTTTCACTTCGCGATAAGGCAAAAATACATAAAACCTCAAAATATCTTTATTAAAATTTAAAAATATAAAATACCAAATGCATTTAAAACAATTAAAAAAGCAATTTTTACAATTAAAATTACATTTTCTAAGCAAGAACAAGCAATTTTCGGCCAGCGGGCAAAAAAAAAAAAAAAAAAAAAAAAAAAAAAAAAAAAAACAGATTTTTCGGTGCACAAAACTGAAAGTTTACATTTGGCGCCACTCGACAAAACAGCACGTAAGTTGGTGCAGAAACTGACTTAATTCAATTCACTATTCTACTAAGTTTCAAATGTAAACAAATATGGCTGCTAAAAAAAATTACTCTTAGCCGTACTTAAACAACTTTTAAATTGTTGATAGTTCTACAACTGTTACTTGCAGATTAACTAAAGGTATAAATACCTTAAGGCCTGTCTACACGAGTACGCTCGCGACGTAATTGCAGCTTTTATTTTTTATTTATTTTTTTTTTCGCTGGCGTAAATTCGCATTACGCAGAGGACGTAAAACTGAGTTCGCTAATGCTCATTTTTCTTGCCTGCGACGTGAACGAACACCCAGTAGCTAACTGGGTTCTTATCACTGGCCATAGTCGGGAAAAACTTCTTATTTACACTTTTCAGTATGGCGTCTGAACCACATAGTGGCGAGTTTTTTTTTTTTTTTTTTTTCCAAAGAGATCGTAACTGTCCACAGGAATAAAATAATCAGCATTGTTTACGGCATCCTCAATTCTTTCAAACCATATAGATTGGTATAAATTTCAAATTCTCATTAAGGGGGAAAAACTGTATATTTATAAAACAATGATCTGACCAGTATATCCGTATGCTTCACCTCTATGTAACACGGTAAGTAATAAGAACTTAAATAAATTACAGTTTCTAAGAATCAAATTTTCTGCCTTACAAAATTCTCCTTAATTATTACAAATGTTCGTTATTTCATGTGTTACAAGAAGCTTGTATAACTATCCCAATATTAATACACCCAAATACTGACTTCAAAAATGTAACAACTTTTAAAATAAAGCAGTTGACCATGAAAGAATATTCATTAAAATAGTTTCGAAACACCATCCATTTTCGAGGACAGATACAATTTAAGTCATACGGCACTCATTTATTGAATATTAATTAAATTATCTTTGCGGTAACTTCTACTTGTTACATACATGGTGGATGGTGTTGTCTATAAAAATAACCAAGTGTAATATTCTTTTGACCAGATTACGAAACAGAAGATAAAACACTTTAAACTTGCAGCCTTCTATGAGTGTCACATGATTTTTTTCTGCAATACTTCTATTGGTTAAACGCAGACCTCGCTCGCGTCCTCGTTTGGACGACTTTTCGCCAGCGACCTGCGTTTTGTTGTGTCATTTACGTCGCTAGCGTGATCGTGTGGACGCACCTTTAACCGGAAGATAAGAAAAATATAATTCAATCATTTTTAAAGCAAAAAATTGCTCAATTTACCAACATATAAGAATAAAAAAATACCAAGCTCACACAGCCGAGTAACTGAGTGAGTATATATATATATATATATATATATATTTGGGTCGACCGATATCACCGAAAAAGGGAGGTGCACAACTATATGTTGTAGCAGTCCATACAGAATAGCAACGCTCTGAGGCTACTCGTTTTTGAGTTGTGCGAGATACATGCATACAGACATACATACACACATGTACCATAACTCATCAGATATCACGAAATAATGTCTTCTGAATCTATTTAAAATCCTTTTTGCAACCCGTTTGGGGTAAAAGGGTCCTTTACTCTGTCCTTACGTACAGATGTCACGTAAACACATCATTAAATTGCACCCGATAGCGATCAAAATGGTTATTTTCGATTAAATATGATACCCGAAAACTTTCGCGATTACAATACTTCCTTACTTCGTACAAGCAAGTAATAAGCAGGGAAACCGTATGTTGAGAAGAAAGTGCATTTATAAATAATAAATATATTCTCTGCATAATAACGTCTGCCCATTAATGAAGCACAGGATCTTATATTTCAAATAATTCACATCATTTACGAAAAATGGACTCGGAAGAAACTAAACAATTTAGAATTTTAAATTATTGGAAATTCAGCTTCAAATTTATAAATTTCAGAAAATATACCACAAATCTTTTTATTTAAAAAAAAAATGCAAAAATTTTCTTTATATTTTGAGAGAATATGATAAAAATTTCTGTTCTTCAAAGAGCAAAAGCAAAATCATTTTCGTAAATTTTAGAAAAACTGTTTCTTGAAGAAGACAGACATGCACAAAGCATTTCTCTAAAAACTAAGTAATTCTAATTCTGAATTTTGCATAATTTTAAAATAACCAATGGCATTTAAAGTATCTATAATTTTGGCGTATCTGAAAATATAGACTAAGCTACTGTCATACCTGAAAATATAGACAATGATAAAGTAAATTAAAACCGTAACTTAGCTGATTATTGTGGCTCGTAATTAAAAATTTCCTTACCTAGAATTTAAAAAAATTCTCAGAGATTCTAAATATTTAATAATATTTTTGTTTAAAATTGAGCGGTTTAAACCCTCCCCCCCCAAATTCAATTTGCATTAATTAGTGTTCCATCTTTTAACAGATTCCAGAACTTTAATGGGCATCTTTAAACAATTGTTATATACATAGCAATGATGAATTATCACCTGCAGGAGATCCCACTTCAAGATCCCACTTTTTATGCAAACGAAATTAAGCTTCTAATATCATTCAATGTGCTATGATGCTTCAGGTTTACAGATTGCAATGATTCTTAAAGTCAAGTCAATGGCATTAAAAGAATATTTTGGAAAAAATTGTAAATGGAATCGGAAGCTAAAAAAAAAAAAAAAAAAAAAAAAAAAAAAAAAAAAACTGGAAACATTTAGGTATCAAATTGCAAGGAGATTCCGCGGAGCGGCTGTTGATTATGTCCAACATTCGTCTACCGCGTTGTTTTTCAGCGGAGTCTTGCTCGTGGCGACCTCTATGAGTCGAATCAGAAAGTGATGCGGTAGTCTCGCGTTGACCTTGAAAGACAGTCAAGGACAGAGTTTGAGTCCATGACATGAGAGCGAAATAGTTTAATCTCATTATGTGAGTAGATTGCCTCAAGAGCTCTCAACCATTCTTTAAGAACTTTTATCATTTCCTCTTTAATTTGATAATGCTGTAGAAAATAAAGAGCGAGAACTAAGTAATTCAGTAAAATTTGCAATCTGTGTCTCCCAAATAAATAGATTACTTTCCTCGTATTCTGTTTCCTTCTGTGTTTGAATAAATCATGTTAATTTGAATTTGTTTTTAAATGCCTGACAATAACTGTTTACAGAATTCGTGCATCTACATTCATTTAGAAAAGGGTCGGCAACTATTTTTGGCTGCAAATCAAAATCAGCCAAAATACGCGGATAACACATTTCTTGGAATGTGATTAAGTACTGGTATTTAACGCATCTCTTTAAGGCGACCACCTTCATAGAAAGTTAAAATCATCTCTAACGCCTTCATAGGAGAATAAAATTGTTTGGTAAACGACGATAGGGACATTTTATGGCGGTTTTACTGTATGTTTTTATTTAAACTTAATTTTCTAGGCTATTAAATTAAAAAAAGAATAGGCTACTGAATAAAAAAAAAACTTTTAGGATATTGAATTAAAAATTACTGTTATTTCAAATAAAAAAACTTGTTTATTTTCAGCCATGTATCGTTGGTTAAAGCTACGTGTGTAAGCAAAATGCTTAAAATGGCAATTAAAGAATATGATTATTGTTTAATATCTCTTGTTAAAAAATAAAATTTATTGTATTATTAAAGAATTTAGAATAGGCAGTTATATTGTCATGTTTTTATAATGTTAATTTGGCTAATATGCTGCTTCTTTTTTGGTACTGAAAGACGTTTTCAATGATTGTGTTGCGGTTTTAAAATTTTAGTTCAATATTTTATGAAAGTAAATAGAAAAAATTGCAAATGCATAAAAATTGTAACATTTTCGTAGCAGTACCCTGATATAAAATTGCTGGCACTCATATGCTGGTTAATAGGTGGTGTTCATCAAGGCCGAAATCTTTACAACAGTTCATGACATAAAAATGGTAGTATCTTTATGAAAATAAGTTTTTAATTTGAAAAATACAACCTCCTTTAAGGTATAAGGTTTATTTGTAATTATTTAAATGTAACCGATTGACTATACTCAGATCATATCATTTTCAAGTCTAACAGTTTGACTATAATTCAATAAAAAATGTATCATTAAAATAAATCTTAAAAGATTATTCAACAACGTATAGAGTCTTAAGTTCTAAAAACATACAAATATATCTTACGTTTGTGAGGAGTGTGTATATTGGTGAAATAAATGAAATAAGCCATAAAACTTGAATTTAACACAGTAATCAGAAAACTGTAATTTCTAACTTTCTCTGAATAACTCTCGCTAATTCTTAAAAAATCTCCAATCTAATTTTTAAAAAATATCGGACAAGCAAAATATGCATTCACCAAACTGAAAGTATTTTACTTCCTTCAGTAAACTGCAAAAGCAGCTGAAGGACAGTCTTAATCACTGGATAAGCACATTGTTAATGGAAGATAAATAAATATTTACTACGTGTTGTCTTATTTAACTTGAACTCTTGTGAAGGCAGATTAAAAAAAATCGAAGGTTACAAAGGAATTAACTTGAAAGCAACTGATTACTTTAAATAAAATCTTACAAAAGTACGATCATCTTTGCTGTCCTAGAAATGGGTCACCATTATGCAATGGTCCCATAAAAATTTTCAAAACAGGTATAATGAAATAACAGAAACAAGACACTTACCTAGTCGAGGCACCCAGACAGCAGCTCCTTCAGGGCTTCTTAAAGGCAAAAAATTCAAAAAATTTGCCTTCAATATTTTATGACAGTGTTTCGGTGTAAAGTTGCGGTAGACATTCGGATAAATTTGCCTATTTAGGTAATATTTCTTCAGTAGTTTAAACGCTGCATCAACACTGAACTTTCTAACTCGTAAAAAACCCAAGAGGAACTCTTCAGAAATGTCTGCATTCAAATCCTTTTCCTCTGTAAGAAGTACATAAATATTGTTGAGAAGTTACATTTTAAAGAAAATGTTTGAAAATCGTTAAGAGGGTAAAATGATAGAGATGAAAAATTGTCAGAAAGAGAAGAAAAGCAATCTCTTGATTTGTTTAATACACAGGAAAGGCGAAAAGCGAGAGTGAGGTCAGGTGAATAATTAGAAGGGATGCCATTTAAGCAACGAAAAGTCAGAAATTTCTCTTAAAAAATTATGATTACTAACTTTACACTTCGAAACACTTCAAGATGTATCAGAATACATTTTAAATAACATAATTTTTCTAGTATTATTTATAATAATTTAAAAGCGTTACATTTATAGTACTGCTTTTATTATTCATGCTTTAATGACTGATTGTTTCATTTCCATTAATCTTGATATGTATTTCTCTTCTCGCTTTTCATTTTATGTTGACGCAGCGTAGTGTCAATAAACGTAGTGTCAATAAAATTGCTTAAATGTAAATTAAGTGATTTATGTTTATTGCCTTATCGCAATCATATCGCTTTGGTGCTTTTGAAAGTCTACGAACTGGATATGAATGAACACACAGTTGCCTGCGTTTTGATGCAGCAAATATAAAACATAAAGATCCACCGAAATAGCATCCGAAGACTAATGAAGGATGCTTGAAAATAAAATCTTCCGTATTTTCAATTTCATTTTGTATTCAATTTGTTATGTAAAAGTTGCCACGCATTAGGGATTTTGTCTTGTTGTTTACGTAGGTTATTTGCATCGGAGCTTTGTACAGTGGTTTTATTGCGGTTATTTCTGGAACAGCTACATATGCAGCACAGAATAAAGAAGAGACGACACTTCAGTCTATTATCTTATTCTTTGTTACGACTGGAATGTAAATATATACGACAAAACATTACTTTCTTTTCTGAGTAGTTGTATTGCTTATAATGAATGAAACAATTATATAAATTATTTAATTTGAAAGACATTAAAGAAGGTTTAGCGTTTTGAACTTTTTGTGGAAGATTTAAGACTAGGGGGGTTGTTTAAGACAGTTATGGGTAAAAATAATAGCATTTAAAACAAATCAGTTTTAAATTATCATGTATGTTATCTGCGCGAAATTCAATACTGCATGAAAATGAAAAAGTTTGTAAAGTCTTGCAATAAAGACCTATATGTAAATGCCTACAAAATTGTCGCTTAATAGAGAATTTACAACAGATGAGAGAACATTTTTCAAAATTTCAATTTTTGCTTATGAAATATTTATTATGAAAACGAGTTAGCTTGCTTATGAAATAACAAGCATTCGCTTGTTATTTCATATTCGCTTGTTATTTCTTATGAAATAACAAGCATTCGCTTGTTATTTCATAAGAAAGCTAACTTCCGATATTTAATACTATACTTAATGGTACCTGTACTTAATGGTACTTAATACCCTATACTTAATGGTACCCTATACTTAATGATAGTACTGAACAAGAATATCAATTTAGTGATTTATTTAAAATGGTGATAGTGGATAATGACAATAGTGATAATAATGATCGTGACAATAGTGATAGTGGATAATGGTGATAGTGGGTGTATAAAACCTTGTAATATTTAAAATGTTCTTTGAACGAAATCACAGTGAAATGGGCTAAGAATTGTTTAGTGTTTAACTATTTATGAGAGGAGTTTTGAAATCGCGTGGAATTTACTGTTTCAAAGATTTACTTATAGGAGAGAACCAAAGATTTTCTTTTATCATTGTTAAAGAAAATCTTATATTTATCAAATTTTCAAACTGAAAATCCCCGTCAGATATTCACTTTTATAGATACCGTGAAAGAATATGTATGTTCTTTTGAGATGTTGGGTTTCAAGTAGAATAATTAGTCGGTACTATTTTGATGTTAACAGTACAATTTAAACCAAATTCTTCTTCCAGAGGAGGATGGGGGAAATTCTTTAAAGCGAAAGGAAATACCAGTACTTAATGACCTGTTACAATTCGTAAAATCTCATGCTAGAAGTCTAGAAACTGGTAAACATCAAGAAGTTATAAACAAAATACGAGAATTCGTTGGCTTCACAGAAACACGTACAGTGCACATATTGTAAAACCAGTCATTCAGTAATGTAATGTAATATGTTTCTAAATCTGAACGATCAGGATAGTGTTAATTTTGCCGAGAGACACAATATTTGTTTTAACTTTTAGTTCCAAATCGAAAAGTTTCGGAACTAAAAGTTAAACGAGTGCAGAAGTATCCATAAATGTAAAAAGTTCTTTAAAATCACCACACACATTATTGCATTTCGAAGGAGTTTCGAATCAGCCAAAAATTTCAACAAACAAAGGAATTTCGGTCGAGATTAGGAGTCTGTGATTTCTTTTAAGCTCTACTGAAGGTGTACTACAGTAAATCTACAGAATACAGGCGATTTAATACCACCGACGTAACATACACTCGCATTAAAGCAATGGTGTTATGCAGTAAACATTTGTAGGATGTTAAGTTGAAGCTTTGTGATATTCTGTGCGAAATTTCAAAACACTTGTTTTATTCTTTGTTGCTTTAAAGTGGAAAATGAAGTGCCAGAGAAAAGAGCAGCTGAAGTGCTGGTAATTAAACATATACTCAACATATTTGATATATAAAATATCCTAAAAGGTGGTTAATTTTTTTTCCAATGGCGGGGTCTAGTCGTTCATAGGCGTTGGCCACTACTAAGCCCGGAAGCAGTGGTCCCTTTATTATAGAGGCACGTGATAGGTGGGCCACCGTTGCCTCCTATGAAGGGACGTACAGATTACATCCTTACCTTCTCCGGGATTTGAATCAGGGTCTTTCAGTACGGCGGTTAGAGTCATGAACCAATTTTCCGTCTACGCGGTAAGTTAGTTAATACCAAATATCCTAAAAAGGGATTATTCGAGACCTTTGTTCTCTTTATTCAATATTTATCGACATAACAAGAAAAAACACATTTACAGATCAGATTTTCGTGTGGAAAAGATTTAAATTACCCTTATCAACACAAAAAAAGAAACAATTTTCTTGTTTATAGTACAGTAATTTAACTATGAAGTTCGATAGTAACAATGAATAAAAGGGTTAAGAAGTTGTCGTTTTGCTGTTTATAAGGCAGAATTTTCTGGAAAATGAACGATTGTAACAAAATAAGGCTTAATTTAGATAAAAGAAAGGCAATTTCAGAAGTTATCTTAAATATTACCGAAATTTTGATCAGATTTCGAGAACAATATACATTTGAATATTTCCATGTTAGTTACTTTATCAGTCTTTTTATATGAGAATGCTTATCTCCGCCAAAGGCATTGAAAATCTAATACGCAGAGCACTTTAGATTGTAGTGATTGGGTTCTACGAAACGTTAGTTTTGAGATCTTGAAAGGTTTTCCTTTGTTTAGGACATTTCTTTTGAACTGTATCATAATTTGCTAAATTATTTCTTATGCAATATTTAATTTACAAACAAAATATTAGCATAAATTTTTTTTTCTGAAAAACCATAGAGAACTGATAATGCAATAGAATTCGATTTATCAAGACCAGATTTTAGGTATCAATGTTAAAATTATCCAGACCTTTTTTTCAAGGTAAAATAAAATAATATTTTCTGTTAATTTATTTAAGTGTTCCATCGTGTTATTTTAGAGATTTAGCCGTATCCTTATATTTCATATCCTGTTGTTAGCTTTTTCGTTAGTTTGAAAAATACAAAAATGACAGCACTATACAAGACGTAAGGTCAATTGATCTCTAGAGACATATTATTTTTTAATTTACTTGAACCTCGAGATCGATCAAAAATTCTTACAACAAACACTTATATTCTTGAACAGAATACAAAAAGAGTATCTGCTTAAAGATCTCGTGGCAAGTTGTCTCGAGGATTTTAATTTTTCGTCCTTCGCGATTCTTGAAATACGTATTCAGAAAGCTCAATAGTTTAAAAAAATCCTTTCATCTGACAAATTATGTTTTCCCAAATTTTACATTAATTTCTCGTTCTCTGCTAGTGAACTACAGGCTCTTGATATGGGATATTAATTAAATCACTTGAAGTGAAATGTAAGAAAAATATTGGAGTATTTAGAAACGAAATATGATATTTTAAAATTCTGTGTTTTGCAATGTATTTCATTGCAGTATTCCCATCTAACACCATAACTTTCGTAGCAAGTTCAATGCAAATGTTTTACGGGTGTTTCAGAAACTCTCGATAACATTCACAGACGTAAAATACAAGGAAGCATTTCGTGTCAGGAACGTTCAGGCGAAACGTTGTGAACCACGTCTATATGTTACAATTCTAAAATGGACAATTACATGTCCAAAACCAGGGTTAGTTCCACTCTCATGTAACATGTAAAGAACATCATTACACATCTTTACATAAAAATAATAAATAATTTGATGTTTGCCGGAAAATTAAACAACTGTTGTAATTGTATCATAAGTAAAACGTACTTTATAGCACATGCTGCAAAAATGTTGCAAAAATAACCATGTTTTTCTTTCACATATGCTAAGTACTCGGTTATAACATGCAATAATTTAACAAGACATGAAAAGCATTTTTATAGCATATGTTTTCATAATACAGCATATTATGAATGTTTCGAAAAGTATCCTTTTGTACACTGAAATGTACGTCCTAAGTGTAAAATTATAACAGGCACAGCTTTAGTTTATCATGTAGAATGTACTTTATGGTACATATTGGAAACGTTTCAAAAGGTAACAGTGTTGCAAGTTGAAATGTGTTTTCTAAGCATACGGATGTCACTTAAGAACTTCTTGGAGAACGTTCTAAATGCACATCACTTTGTCACAGAAAGAAGGCAGGCTCACTGACTATGCAGTTAACGTTCTCGTGCTGCTTAGGCTTTGAAAGCAATCTTGAAGTGTCATTGTACACCGTAAATAAATAATTGCTTAACAAATTCTGGGAGGATTCAGATTTTAACATTGCACCATAAGGTTTGTTAAGATTTTTCATGCTTTCGCTGACTTCGCAGCTTACCACTCTATTCTTGGACTCAGACTTGCTAACACGACGCTTTTTGTCTTTTCAACTTTGTTATTAAACATCATTCTGCACACTTGCACCACATAAGATTCAATAGCAAAATCATAACACTTTTAAAAGCAACATATGTTTAGGTTTCCCGATATTGTGTTAACTGCCGAATTACTACTTTTTTTGGGTGGGGGGGCTTTTCTCAGTTTATCATACTAATGTTCAACTTGTGGGGTTTTCCTTATTTTGCATAAGAAATTTATTTTAAGTGTGATTTCCTGTTCTAAACTTTTCAACTTCCCCTCACTAAAGTTAACTGAAGTGCTATTTAAACGTGTGAATATCTTAGTTTGTTCAGAGTGTGTTTCGCTTGCCAAGCGCACGATTCGTTGTTATTTTGCGGTCACGCTCGTACATCTCTTGGCCTTAATTCTATTAGATCACGCCGGTTAGATTTCTGTGAGTCCACCTCTTAGGCGTAAACTTAAGTGCGCTCTTGCATTATTTATTTCAGGTTTGACTTGTATTATATTCTACGTTTTAGTTCCCACCGCAAGTAGACGGTGTTTTTGTAACCCACGAAGTCCGTGCCTTTCTGTTAAATTAGTTTGGATTAATAAAGGGCTATTTTTCACCCTTCTTCTGTGCTGGTAATTTATTCATGCTTGTGCGAGAATTCGCCAGATTCATTGTAAGATCTAATTTAGTTTATGTGGAATAACAGAGATAGGTCTTACAAACTTTCTTAGTAAGACGGCTTTACTTACCTTTTTGTTACTAGGCCGAAACAGCTAATAATCTCGAACTTCAATTTTTCGTCACTTTCTATGTCCATATAACGTTTTATATAAAGAGATACCATGACAATGGTTAACTGAAGAGGACAACCATTTTTCACGTGAAAAACGACTGAGAATACGTAACAACAATAAAATGAAATCAGAACGAAGAAGACTATCGGTTCAGAAACCAAAAACGACCTAAAAATGCATAGTTCGAACGTTTATTGTCAAATGAAGAATTGTCATCGCTGATAAACAAGCTCTCTTGCGTGACGTAAAATATGAATCATTTCAGATTTTTTTTTAAATTAGATTTAATTTTTGTAATCTTTGTTTTACTATAAGTTTATTTATTACACATAATTTTCTTTGCATCTTCGCCACATAAAATTCAACCGCAAAATCACAAAATATTTAAAAAACATAATATCTTTAGAATTCCCAACAAAGAGTTAAGTGCTGCCATATATTTATTAATGTTTGATATTTCATTTCCTTAAAAAAAAAAAAACATAGCAATGACATTTGGCGACGCCATTTGAAATGTAATACGAAACTAAATTGATACGGACAGTAAAGTGAGGTTCCACATTAACAGTCTCCTCCGGGGCTAAAATAAAAATTGGACTTTTACTACAAAGTGTAACCGAATAACATATGATAGGCTATCTGTGACAATGAAACGGGAAGAAGATATTGTTCAAAGATGAACGTAACTAATTATTAATTACATGTAGAGCAATTTAAAAATGTTTGTATTGTTGGAGGGTATTATAATAACAATTAAGGCTCCGTTTTCGATATCTCAGAAGCATAAAAAATCAAATGTAAATATATATGCATTATATAGACTAGAAGAGAAACACGCTAATGTGACAATCAAAATCGTACGAAATTAACAAGTCTTCAATAGCGTATCATAGTTGGATATTTAACCATAATTTTGACTTTGGGTCTGCAAAAATTATCCAAAAGGCTTCTTCCATATGTGAATTGGATTTTCTTGAGGTTTTTTATATTCACAAAGATTTAGCATGTTTAGTTAATGATTTTAAGTCCAATCCAGTCCTTCCTAATGCCTTTAAAATTCTACTATCTTAATTCAGTTATGCCGATAGATGGCGTTACCTCCTCGCGTTTGGAACTACCAGAGGGTATAAAAATCCGTTTAGTGGTTGCTTTCCATTATTCGAAGTTCAGATTTTGAGCGTGAAGGTGCAGTTGCCCCTCGCTCCCTATTTTTAACTTCGCTAATTTTTCTTGTCCTTTGTGTACATGTTTGATCAGATAGCCTGGCTCAGTAAAAGTAGGCGGCCAGTGTAACTCTGATTAGAAATCCGGTTATAACCACGTGCAATGCTGATAAGGACCACGTGTTTCTGAGACTCCTTCCCCTTTATTTTTCTTCTTTCTAGGTATTTCTTTCTCCTGATGAGGAGGGACCTTTAGCTGCCCTCGAAATCGATTGAGTATTTCAATATACTTACGCTAAATACAAGGTTGTTTTTACGATTTTTATATGCATTATATGCTGCAAACTCACATTTTGTGCATTGCTGCATATCATTCACATTTTTTTCTACAATCTACATCGTGCAAATATCGATTTATCAGATTCTTCCATCTTGCAGCTTTAATGCCCAGAAGTGTTGACAACAAAATGCATATCCAGTGAATTTATATTTGATTGTTATAATTAATGTTTGAAAGCAAGATGAAATCAGTGAAATAAGCAGTATTTGCAAGCATAGACTAGAAGAGAAACACGCTAATGTAACAATCAAAATCGTAAAATCAACCTTGTATTTAGCGTAAGTATATAGAAACACTTAATCGATTTCGAGGGCAGCTATCGATTGAGTGTTTCTATATACTTACGCTAAATACAAGGTTGTTTTTACGATTTTTTGATCTGCAAGCATATTCAAGAACTTATTAAAAATTAACTATCTTGCTTCTGTTGAAAAAAGTAGAGTTAATAATAATTCACAGACTTTTACTCTGATATCTTTTCTTGTGGGTTTTACCTACTGTTGACGTTATTGTGGGTCCATTTTATCAGATAAACTTTTGAATGGTAAATTTAATACTTAGAATTCATAGAGATTTCGAGCAGTTACCAGAAATGCATAGGAAGATTTTAAAACTCCGTAGTATTTATTTGCGATATTGTTTGAATTCAGAAATAAAGTAAAATACTTAGACAGTTTTTTACAACTTAAAATAATAATTAAAGTTTGAAGTTGATTTAAATTTTGTTGCGTCCGATGGATTGCGAAAAAGCATTGCACGGAAAGACTATACATTTTTCAGAATATAGTACCGCAAATTATATACTAGACAATGTGTAAAATTTACCTGTAAGTAAACGAAACTACAGGTATTTCAGGCTTATTTCTAAGTGATGTAGTTTTATTCTTGTTATATTACATACTATTATTGAAATGAATTTTAGTGAAATTTTTATAAATTACTTACCTTCAATCATTATTTTAAGTTCTTGAAGACATACTTTCCGTTTTTGTTCAGTCTCCCCTAATTCTTCTTCAGCTTTACGGATAATGATTTCGTTTAGAATTGTATTTTCCAAGGGCATAAACTGTGATTCTTGCATTAATGTTTTGCAGTCCATTACTCGAAAAAAGAAGATCTAGAACCAATGATGCTACCTAAAATTATAGAAATAAATCCTAATGATATTTGAAGGTAAGTAACCAAGTAGAAGGTAAGATAAGAAAATGTGATCTATATACAAAAGAAATTAAAATGTTTTAATGAAAAGATCAAACCGTAACTTTTTCTCATGTCCAGATGTTTCAGATTCGCAGAAGAAAACAAACATATGTTTTCTATATTCTATTCTACATAAAACAATTTTAGCCACTTGTATTAATGAGATAATGAGAGTATAATCAGACGCATCTCAAAGTAAAATGTCTTAACATTTTCTTCAAATTTAATATACTGTTAGAGAGGTAGATACAACAAATTATTGGGAAAATTAAATGGTGTTTGTCTCTGTAAACAATTTCTGGCAAATACATTAGGCAAGTAATAAAACCCACAGTAAAAAAGTAATTAAAAAATATCAGTCTTTAATCAGTTTTTAAAATAAAATTATGAAAAATATTTTATATCCGTCAAAAAACATTCATTTCCTTTTTAAGAAGCGATCGATTCGACTTAAGTCTAGCACATATTTTCTTTCAGCAAATTTGATACTCGATTGATAAAACTTAATATATTTATTAAGTTGTTAAGTTGCAATTGAGCTGGAGATAGAAATCAAGTCTTACAACCCCACTATGACAAAGACTGCTCAAAATTTTAAATAACCTTTATATTTAATCTTTAACATTTAACGTATAAAGCGCGACTCATGCCAGCAGACAAGAACCACTACTCGTAGCGATGTAAATAAACAATATCAGTCAAGTAACTTTAAACCTTGATAAAGTAGTATATGATTAGACAAACAAATAAAATACCGGCGCTGAAGCTAAAAGTATCGGCTGCGAGAGAATTCGAAGACGAGGTAATTACGCTTAGATAAAGTTGGCAAAATTCTAACAACGCGAGTGTTAGAAACTCTCTGACTAAGATTTAAAAAAAAAGTCAGCTTTCGTACATTAAAAGATAATTTGCATTCTGGTGAGACATAATGAAGGAAGAAAGCATTGTAGAGATCAAAATCATAATAACTGATTTATTAACATAAAGTAGGTTATAAACTTAGATCTCTCTAAGGAAAAAAGCTTAAGGAGATTAAGAATAATAAAAAGGTTCAAGTTATAAAATTTAGTTCTTTTTGCTATTATAAATTGTAACAAACTCTGTTAGATAGACTAACAGACAATTATATTATTTTTTTCTGAAAAATGTATAGTCTTTCCGTGCAATGCTTTTTCGCAATCCATCGGACGCAACAAAATTTAAATCAACTATCTAGTCTAAAATAACAACTGAGCCTTGAGAAAAGTGTTAAATGACTCTTTATTTAAAACTAAATAAGAACAGAAGCCACACCTGGTGCTTACAACTCAACCAGAACTTATGGCCAGATAAATTAAATAACAGTAAGTTCATATTTAAAATAAGTTAATAGTCAAAGGGTGCACAATTCAATTTAACGCGAAGTTGGCTCGCAAACTTAACCGGCTTAAATATTAAACTATCAGCAATTATAATGCAAGGCCAAGTACTGCGAATATAAATGAGCTAGCTGTAACTTACGAACGTGATCGTGAGAGGCAGAATAAACTGTCTTCTAATCTAAAAACCTCAGTTTCAATCTACGCGAACTGACTTTTATTCTCGCTTGGAAACGGAAGGAAGACCTAACACTAAAGTTTTAAATCATAAAATAATCAGTTAATTATCGTAAAGGAACACCACAAAGTAGTGGCTTCTTTAACATCTAGGAAGGGAATGTATGTGCCTGAAACTTTCTCTTTTACTTTCATTTTCTAGGTATCTAACGTATTTCAGAGGTTTTTTTTTTTTTTTCCCATTAAATTATCTTTCTTTTATTTTCTGCCAAAAGTTTCCTGTTTTTCCTTCTCATAATGTTTTCTTCTGTACAATAAAAAGATTTTATTATTTCTTTGTCCACGTAAATAACGCGATATCTTCATATTACAATTGTTCGCACAAAATCGTATTACTATAATTGCGCTTTTTTCATTCTGTTCACACTTCAGTATAAAGATTGCATTGTTAAACAGCATACAAACATTACTAGTGGTTTATACATCAATAAGAAATATGTGTATTTTTAGCATAGCAGTTATCTAGGCATCCGTTCCTATATACACAAAACAAGAATCAGCGAGGAATAAAGTAAATTTCAAATCTTTAAAATATGATAGGTTAGAATATATATATATATGATATGATAGGTTAGGAGCTTTCTAAATGAGAACAGTAAATATTTTCTAAGACAGTTTTCTAAATTTTGTTCAGTTTCATTTTATTCTTTATTTTTCTTTATTATTATTATTATTATTATTACTATTATTAAGTTGAATTGATTTTCAAATTAATGACAATTCATCTTGAGTACACGTGTTAGAAAATGGCAATGAAATTTCATTTAAGAACTAGCTCTTATCTGTGATATAGGCCGAAAAAGTGATAAAACAGAAAACAATAGTTTGTATCTCCCAAGGATAATAACCTTGCTTCAGAGATTAAGGTGGCAACTGTTTACACGTGAGCATATTTTTATTCCATGCGAGTATATGCTGTGATTAACTAAATGAGAAATTTCTATAAAAAATATACTGTTGCCGACAGTGAATGATATTTTCTTTCTGAGAAAAGCCGTTTAGAAATATTTGAAGGAAAATTAATTTGAGAGAAAAATTAGAGTGACAGCTTTGCTAACATAGTACCTCTTTTTTTAAAGAATTAATGTAAATAAAATCATAAAAGAATTTCTCTGTTTTTTTTTATTTTTATTAATAACATTAATCTTTTAAATTTTACTCAGGGAACCTGCAACTTAAATTTAAAAGGCATTTAGAAAGTTTAAAGAAACGTCTTTTGAAATTCAATCTCTGAAGTTAATTTGTAAAGTCTTTCAACTGATATCAAACGAGTGATATTGAACATTAATCTGTAAGACAAAAATGCGTACATCATGATACATCAATGCTTAAATTGATGCAATATTTTCCAACGATATATACCACAAAGATATAAAATTCTAAAAATAACGTTGCAAAACTTTTATCACAAATAAAAAATCAAAATATGCAAAAATAAACTACTAACAAAAATAACGATATTTATTCCAGGGTTTTAAAATAATACGTCTTGGCTAAGTCTAGACAAAAGCAACTAACTGATAAAATACTTAATCTCTTAACCATAATTTGAAAGATAATTAATCACATATACTTTCATGTAATTATCTTGACATAGACATGAAAAACTACATAAACTATCTAACTAATAGGATTATGATGATCCTCTATCCAGTTAATTAATTGACAGGTAATTTGATATATAGAGTTTGCAATATTGTTTTAGTTTATTAAATTAATTAAAAATTAATTATAAATTAAAAATTAATTATAATTAAAAATTAATTATAAAACTAATTTTTTTCTGTAATTTTTGTACATTTTAGAATGAAACAAAAAGAATTCAATTAAGTATTAATAACAAGCAAATATTTTCTTTTAGGAATTATTAGCCCAAAGGGCAATTTGTCCGGAAGGGCTATTAATTTGGTTTTGCCATTTTGCTTTGATTCACTTTAAACTGCGAAACATTTTTTAAATTGTTGTTACCAAATATTAGAACCCTGTATTATATTTAAAGAAATTAATGAAGAATCTGCATAAATGTACGTATATTTCTCGAACTGTGATAAAACAACAATACCTAGAGCCATCAGATTTTGAATAACGCACGTCTCTACCCGAATATGGGCATTTGGAAGCCCAAATTTGGAATTTGGAATTTGTTTTATTATCTTCATATTTTATAAAGTATTTATGAGTTTTTAATTAAGAAACTCAACGATTTCAAAGTGAGAAATTGCAATACTGTACAGAAAAAAATTGTTTATATGCAGCGCGCGGGACTGTATATCAGAAATTCTAAAGCTGTGCTCTTTTAAATATTTTGTGATATTGCTGTTGAACTGAGTTTCATGCTTTAAGTGCGAAGAATATGATATTTAATAAATATAGGTGACACATAAAACGTTAAAAAAACGTCCCTTAGGGCGTAATATAAAATCTGAAATCTTTCAAATTTCTTTTTTTATTCGTTAATTTTATTATGGAATATTTAAAGTTTGGAACGAGAATTACAGAGAGCTTCAAATTCTGATTAGTTTCGTAGAATTATTGAAAAAAAATGATATAATCGTTACTGCGTTAAAATCGAATTGAAACTATGGAAAAAAAAACCCTTAAATTGTGCTGAAGTTCTTAAATTGCTGAAATTCTAATAAAATATGCATTTTTTCCTTTTAAACACGTTTCCTTTTACCCTCAATCTTGAGTTACTCGAAATTAAACAACATAAATATACGATTAATCAAATTATAAAAACATACATACATTTATAAATCATACATCATACATTATTATAATGAATGATGTATTGATGTTAGAAACATCTGCAATGTAGCCTTTCTAATGTTCGCATTATGGTATCCTTCTGTAGCAATCTTCATTCGCATAGCCTGGCATATTAACCATTTTCATTTCAGTTTCTTACCCTGGCTACAAAACTTCCTTTGTTTTAATCATAAGCTATAAATTAAGACTTTATTAAGTACTGGGGAAGAACATTTTAAATTTAATTTTCAAATTACATAAATATGTTGCATATAACGTAGCTCATTGAGCAACTTTATGCATATCTGTTATTGATTTTACCTTATTTAAATTTTTAAAAGATATCTACTTTTTATTGTACGCAGGAACTTAAAATAATTTAAACAGGGTTTTAAAATAAACTTCCTTTTGATGGGAAATAAAATCGTACATAGTCGAATAGCTTCATAACAATATATGAAATTTCATTTCGATTGGTTAAGCGAATAGGCCGCTAACGGCTCATATATCGGGGATATATCTTGCAATGTTGAGCCCTAATGACTACAGTGTTGTTTGAATGCATCGAAGGGACTCTCCAGTGTTCACTTTCATTGTAACTTTGCTACAACTGTAAATAAGAAGGATTTTATCAGTGAATACCTAAGACAGTTGGCTTTAGAGGTAACAAATACCATTCTCAAAAATGCTATTGAGATCGTCACAGACGACAGCAAAATTGCTGACATTTATATTGAGACTCCTAGGGAAAAAATGACTGTGTCATCGTAGCCCAGATCACTATTCTGTCTTTGCGAATGAACTGATAGCAATCAATTCGAGGCTGGAGGCTATACTAACAGAAAAAGAATATTGGTGATTTATGGATTTAATCTGATAGTCGTAGCTTACAGCATATTGACAATTGGATCCTTGTAGGCAACAAAATCCTACAAACGCTGCAGTTAATTTCCCAGCCCTATGATATTCATTTACAGTGGGTTCCCCCTTATGTGCAACGAAAGGCGGACAACCCTTTAAGGTAACGAAATGGCGGACAAATTAACAAAGGAGGGCTATGATCTTTCAACTCCCTCGTTTTCTGCCCTCATCTATCTGGAACTGCACTATGTGAAAAAAAATCACAAATCATGGTGGAATGGCTTGTGCCCTTACCCATCACTGGTACTTAGTTAGCAAGCCTGGTTGAACTCTAAACACTGAGTGTGACAGGAGCTCCCAGCTCTCTAAAGTATTGACAGCTCTTACATAAAATGTCTCTCTTTCAAAGAGGGCATGAAAATCCTTTTCACATGCACCAAGTGCCGAGAACATCAGGCTTTTTATTGGTCTCTTTGGACCTCTCTAGGGAGAATTTTCATACCAGTCTCCTCCTTATGCTCGACTTTCTAAGAGTCAACGGTCTTTTGGACCTTGTCTGATCTCGTCACAATCTGTAGATAAAGCAACAACAGCAACATATCGAGAAAGACTTTTTATGACCACCCTGATATGAACTTGTTTATCTAGGAATGCATTAAAGTAACTTTTCCAGGATTAAAATTGCATATTAAAGGAATTTTCTCTAAAGAACTTTTAGCAGAAAAGAGAACAGTTTAGCATACGGAACTTTCTTTATGGAGGATGAGTATGAAATTTTGCCCATTTTCATTAAAAGCTATCGCAGGATCAACCTATCGAATCATGTCACAGTTGGAATGCCAAACTTATTTCGTTAACTTCCTTAAACATAAGTTCTATGATCGAGATTAAGTCTATGAATTATAGAACACTTAATCGGAGTTTAGCTGGAACATTAGTATCGACTATTCGAGAGATAATTGCTGAATCGTTTATGAAATACCCTCTATTACTATAAAAAATGGACATGCAGTAAAAAATGGATGAGTTCACTGATGAAATAAACATGTATACTTTAAATCAAAATTTTTCAGATTTTGACTTGCATTATAATCGTTTCTGCCATCGGTACTCTTTACTCTGAAGCATGTGGAAAGGATTTTTCCTCAGAAATATATCTCAAAATTCCTCCCTTTAAATATATTATTATTATTCACTTGCATTAATATTTAATTTTGTCATAATTTAACTTTTCTTCTTCTATATTTAAAGAAATTTTATTAATTTTCTGTTTAAAGAAATTGACTTACTTGTCCCACCTTCTACTCAGTGTTATAACCTAAAGAAATAAATTAACCGTGTTCGAATGAATATGAATGCACTATGAAAAATTACAATGCTTCAATAGCAAGTATTAGGTAACATTTTAAAGGAGGTATTGTACGCAATATGCAAGTCTCATATAACAACAAGGACATATACATATTCAGAGAGACATATGCATAAATATATATTAAAGGATGCGACATACGTTACAAAAATAAATTAAACAAAAATTTCAACAACGCTTTAAAAGCTTTTAAAAGTACTTATAGTTAGATTATAAGATATGCGAGTGTAACAATTATTTACACGATTAGCTGCCACTTATTTATTAAAGAAATACGTAAAGGCTTTACTAAAAGTATATGTAATTCGGCTCGAAATATTATTAGAAAAGCAAATTTAACTAAAACTTTATTTAAAAAACTTAAGATGCTTTATTATTAGTTACAAACAAAGAATAAAGAATTCGGCGGCGTAAGGAATAAAATTATACATAAAATACAAGGCATCGAAATGGATATTTAATTTCAATTTGAATGGAATTATACGATGCACGATACGACCATAAGATATCTATTTTGACAAACGTAAAAGAATATTATCCTCAGTAAGTAATAGTTATGAAATTACTACTTACATTTAACATTTCTTTGAATATTCTGAATTACGTATTGTTATGTTTTGACAAAAGATACTACCACTCAAATTAAAATCAAAGAACAGGTTTGCGAAAACTGAAAACACCGGAGTGGTGTAAATGTGTTATCACACAGAAAAGTTATAGCTAGAAAAATAATCTAAAATAACTCGATAACGACATTTATCAGCTGAGACGCACGAACCTTTGATCAAAGTCTAGAGTACATATGTTAATTTATTTCAACAAATTTAGAAATTCATTGCCAGTTCTTCGCTTTTATTTAGCATCGAGGGAAAGAAAACGGATTTCATAGGAACACTTTCTAAGTATGCGGCTAAAATTATATTTTCCTGTCTATATATTTACATTTATTATTACTTTTTTTAAAATGTCATTTCTAAATTTAGTCACCTAGGTTCAACTTTAAATAGTGAACACAGATTTCGTAACTAACATTTAAAGAATCAAAAGGTCTTCTGAGAAAGTACAGTATTTCCTGTTTATCCGTGAAGGATAATAGTATGTTATCAGAATACGTTTATTCCGTTAATGAAATCGCGGATGATGGAAGTTAGAATGCGTATATAATAATAAGTTTATAAAGTTCTAGCTAAAGTACGTGTCCTTGCCTACTAGAACTTTACTGAAGAGTCTAGCGACTATTCGTTGGTCTTACAACTATAAGGATAAAGTCCAAAGAAGGGTTAAAATACCCTTCTATTCACTCAAAGAAATAATAACAGTCGGCCCTTCTCGGGCTTACAGGAAAGGTCTCCACTTGGGCTTTAACTTAAGATAGAAAATAAGGAACTAATTCTAACTAAACTTTAACCGAAACTGTACAAAAATAACTAACCGAGTTAGCCCATAATTAAACCTCACCCGCGATTACTGACAGGCACGTGAAAGTCGAACGTAGTAAGATGGGCTTAAAGTAACGACGTGGCCCGAAGGCAGAATACGCTCTACTGAGAACTTCTGAGCTCTTCTACGGAAGTGACTGAACTTCCGATTAAATTCTGGTACTAATTCATTTTTATAAAACGTGATATTAAAAACTCATTGTGGTAGGAAGATGTAGGTGAGAAACAAGAATCTAAAGGAAAAGGTTTCAAAATTAAAAATAACTATTAGAAAAAGTAATCCTTATAAGTTTGTTGCAAAATATACATTCATCCGGAATTTAAATAATTTGTATTGAAATGATTATAAAAATAAATGCGATAATTAAGTCTTCTTTGTAAAGAAAAGATTTCGTTTAATAATTTTAGTGGTAATGCCAATTTTACTTAATTTTTATTTTAACGTCATCTTTTAAAACTACCTATTTAATACCGATTTTTATTTTAAACTACCTATTTAATACCGATTAAGGTATTACGATGAACCCTTAGCCAATCCGTCATTTATTAATTGCCATTCTGCCATAATTTAATCTATCAAGCATTTATTTTATAAGATTTAGTGTCTCTACTATAACAGATTTTTGTATAATGATGAGACATCTGCGATGTCAGAGTTTTTTCAGCCGTGAATCTCAGTAATGATTAGTTTTGACTTTTGTTCAATAAATTTAGAAAGTTCTTAACAAGGACTAAATAGTTGTGATCACTATTATATATAGTTATTAGCAAAGATAAGAAATATATCTGAGGGTAAAACCTAGGATCTCAGCATTCATATGATTAAATTTGAAGGGCTAAGTGTGGTCTGAAGAATTAACGAGAAAAGTTTAAAGATAATGATTTCAGTTTCAAGTAGTTTGCCAGTTTTTTAGCAAAACTCTTTTTCACTAGATTACCTGCACTCTATACCGGAGGTCTCAAGCTGGTGGACCGCGTGCGGCCTCTGATGCAGTTTTATGTGGCCCGATAAGATATTTCAATTATTTTTTTTTTTTTTTTTTTTTTTTTTTTTTTGCAAATACAACATTACAAAATTGTCAAGATTTTAAAACTAACGTAAATAAAGGATCAAAGAAATCTATAAATTGAGCTGACTACTTTATAATATAAAAAACATGAATCTTATTCAGAGATTTGGAAATCCAGATCTTATTAACTTTTATTCGTACTTCACAAAAAATAAATCAGTTATTAATTTTTACACTAAGAAGAATCTTTTTGTTCGAGAATACATTCATATATGAACACCTTTTTCCTTTCTTGTACGAATTAAAAGAAGTATTCTAATTACGAAAAATTCTAAGTATCATATTTCAACGAAAATATACATTTTGGCCGCTATCGAATGCAATTTAGCGATGTTTTTGCGTGACATCTGTACGTAAGAGCAGAATAAAGGATTCTTTTTTCTCAAACAAATCATAAACCTGATTTAAAATAGATTCACAACAGATTTTTTTATGTACGTACGTATGTATGTATCTCTCATAAATCAAAACCGAGTAGCCTCAGAACGTTGACATTTTGTATATAGGACTGCTATAACATATAGATGTGCACCTCCCATTTTGGTTGCAAACGGCAGCACCAAAAGTGTATAAATATATATACATATACATATCATTTTGTTACTCGGCTCAGTGAGTTCAGTTTCTTTATTCTTATATGTTTGTAAATTGTGCATTTTTTGCTTTAAACATCACTGAATTATGTTAACCTGATTAAGATTTTTATGTTAACCTTTAGTTAACCTGCATGCAACAACTGTGGAATTACCAACAATTTAAAAGATTTTTTAAGTGAGGGTAAGCCTAATTTTTGATTAACATAGCAGCCATATTTGTTTACATTTGAAACTTAGCAGAATAGTGGATTTGTTGCCAATCTAGAGAAACTAAGCTTCGCAACAACAAAGTAACGTCTTCTTTCATTATTGCAAATTAAATTATGCTTAATTCATTCTGGAATTATCATTTAAGTTATTAGGTTTTTAACGTATAAACTGTAATTTTCATTGTATAATATTTTAAAAATTGTTTTAACTGTACTTGGTGTTTTATGTTTTTTTATATCTTTCAATTTTTAATGAAAATATTTTGAATTTTTATGTATTTTTGCCTTGCCGTAACGTGAGAACTGAATTACTTAGTAGCGCATGCGCATTAGGTAAGCGGTGCTGAATTGTCTGTGAAAAACCGTTTCTTTTTTATTTGTTTAATTCCTTTTATACATCGTTTTAGATTTATTATAGTATTTGAATAGAACTTGTGGTAATTCTTCAGATGATATAATTTTTGTTCACTCAGTTATAAAATGAATGAGATGTAACGCTGTTGAGTAAACCTAGCACCGAAGTGTTACTATGGTAAATAAATATAGTGAATTTTAAAAAGCACATTTATTCTAGTGTGGTTTATGCGCTATCGACACAGTAAATTTAATTCAATTCAACAAGTTTAAATGAAATGCAGGAAAAAATGCGTATAATTTAATATTCCGTACAAGAAAGTCATGTGGTGTACCCATCCGAATTCTTTTTATACCATACCAGCCGTAATTCTTTACCTTTGAAACTTAGCAGAATACTGAATCTTTCTGCGCCTTCAGTGTCTTTTTGCTGAGTGGGACCAATAGGAAAATTTTAGTTTTGTGCACCGAAAAATCTTCTTTCTTTCCTGCTGGCCAAATTGCTTGTTTTTGCGTAGAAACTGTAGTTTTAATTGTGAAAATTGTTTTCTTAATTTCTTTAACTGTATTTGGTGTTTTATGCCTTTCAATTTTTAATGAAGATATTTTGAGTTTTTATGTATTTTTGCCTTACCGCGAAGTGAAAACTAAATTAATTGAATGAGAAATATATCTCTCATAAAATTTGAGGAAATAAGTTTAAATGAAATTCAGAAAATGTGCGTATAATTTAATATTCCGTACAAGGAAGTTATGTGGTGTATACATCAGATTTTTATTTGAGCCGAAGAAAAATTTAATATATAAGAGAAAGATACTAAGTTGTCATTATTTTTCCTTAATTTTTGCCCCACGTGGAAAATTTTGTTATGAAAAGTTAAAAAGTTTCCGTAATTACTTTCAATATTATTTAAATAAGTTATTGTAAGATTAATTAAACATGTTAGGTTATTTTAAATAAACATAAAACTGAAAATTAATATTTAGCTGTCAATATATGCAAATTACAGAGTGTAACTAACAAAAATGTCTTGCAGGCACGAAATTTTAAATTTCAGATAGAATTGCGAAATCATTAGTATTGCTTATGAAAGCTTTAAAAAACACTTAGTAAGTGAAATGTAAAATGCATTAGCCCAAAGGGCATTAGCCTAGAAGGCATATTAATTTCGTTCTGGCATTTTGCGTCGGAAACTTTAAAAGTCTGGAACACTTTTCAAAGTTTTGCCACCAAATATTGGAGCTCTGCATTATATTTGAAGAAATTAACTAATGAAGAATCTGCGTAAATGTATGCATTTTTCTCACATTTTGATAAAACAACGGTACCTCGAGCCATCAAATTTTGAATAATGTGCGTCTACACCCGAATATGGGCATCTGGAAGCCCAGTTTTGGAATTTGTTTTATTATCTATTTCATATTTGTAAAGCGTTTATGAGTTTTTGAGTAAAATTGTGCGCGGAAGTTTTTGTTTTTTGAGTTTCTTTCATGTTATTTTTTGCTTATTTCACTGTTTGTAAGATATTGAAAAGTTTTGCATGATTTTTTTTTCTTCAACGGAAAGTTGGTTAATTTTTTTATTAGAATAACTAATATTAAGGGATATAGCTTATTTCATTGCAATTTGTTTTCTCTTGAAAATATAAGATAAAATATAATAATTAATTATACTTTGCTTTTCACACTTTTTTGTATTCTTTTATGTTATTTATTGCTCATTTCACTGTTTTTAAGATATTGAAAAGTTTTGAGTGATTTTTAGGAAACAATGTACTTAACCTCCTTTATACCATTTGAGTTCTTAAGATTTTGCAAAGGAAAGTTGGTTAATTTATTTATTAGGATAATTAATATTTGTAATGACGGATATTGCTTATTTCATTGTAATTTTGTTATACGTAATAACGTTTTTTTATAAAGTTGTTCTGCAGAGTAAAATTCTACGCATTTTTTAAATTTAAATTAATTTGGTGTTCCCTTCAGCCATTTTCCGGTACATTTAAAAGCCAGACGA